TCAGCACCAGGCTTTAACCAGCTGAGCTAACCAGGTTCCCTGTCCCCTGCCTTCCCAGGGTTTGGGGTTACAGCCCAAGAGCCTCTTGGCCCTCTGTCACAGGATACACTACTGCCCCCCTCTGTAGATAACTGGTGGCAGTCTGGAGTTTCAGCATTCGAGGGCCCCTCCACATGTCATTTTTATTGTGTGTTCATGAAGATCTGTGCTTCTGGCGGTATGGGGCAGTAACACGTCCCACCTCTGTTTTCAATACTGTTTGCAGGCTCAAACAGGGTTTGCAGGCTCAGGGTGGACATGCTGCTCTCTTTCCAATCAGTGCACCTTGTGTAACATCCAGCGGAAACCCTGTAACTTTCTATACCACTAATGATCCGGGTTTCTTTTGCGCCCCCCCCCCCCCGTTGCACCGCAGAGCAAATGCCGCTCCAGGCAGCAAACAGGCAATAACTTTAGGAAAGCATCAGGGAACAACCAATAAAGCAGAATAATTTGTAGGTGGTCCAGTATAAAAACCACCGCTAATATTGCACCAGTGACGAGTTGTGGCATACACCCGCAAAAAGTCCTACTAAATCCTGGATAACGTATTGCAGGGTGGCGGCGGCAGATCTTTTGAAACAGAGGATAGTAACAGCCGCACGTCTCTGAGTTTGACTCTGACTCCAGTCAAAGCATTTGGGCTGTGGGTTCTCTTGTGAATTATCTCTCCTTATCCCTCAGCTGCAGTATTTTGTGCCTGGCTTCCAAAGCAAAACAGGTGCCTTTATGCTCAATCCTAGTCATGGCCTGACTGTGCCAAACAGCCAATAATCAAAATGTTGTGCTGTACTCAGAACACGTGCAGATTCTAGGTTACAACCTCCATGATCCAACTTAGGCTGTTTACGCTCTCCTGTTCCCTCTCCAACCCGAGCTCTCCCACAGCTTGTTTGGGAAGCAGTCTCTGCAGGACATTAGCCACAATCCTTTTATATCCCATTGGTTCTTATGAAATAGTGTGATTTGATGCATTGCAGCCCCTCCGCAACCAGATTTAGAAAAAGAACAACCTAGCTGCATTTTAAGATGTTAACGTGTACACAGCCTTAGTGGCTGATGAGCTCTGAGACCCCAACAGCCCTGCTTACTAAGAACAACCCCGTCTTCTTCCGATTGTGCTTTTGCACACAGAATGCTGAAGCAGGGGCATGGTTAGCGGGGATGGCTTTGGGAGCTTTTGCTCTGGGCCTTGGATCTCCTGTCCTGCAGGCCTGTTGTCACCCTCTCGTCCCCTTTCCCAGGAACTGTCGCACATTCCCTGCCCCTCTTCTGAGCCTTTCAGCTGGCAGCTGGCTTTCCTGCCACTATTCTTCATTGATGCTTGATCCCCCCCTCCCCCCAACGGCCTGCCAATTCTGGTTCATTTTCATCCCTGGCATTTTAAAATGTTCAATCTCATGATGCTCTGGCCAGGCAGCAGAGAGAGGAGAGAGAGAAAGAAAATGGCACTGTCTAGAGGCAGGAGTAAAAACCTGATAGGTAACTTGACTTCTAACCCCTACAACCTGTATGGACCCTGTTTCATTTTCTCCTGGAAAGAATGGCATAATTGAGCCAAAGAGTCTTGACTTCCCTTCCTTATCTCACCCTTGTAATGCTAGAGTCACTGATAGGTATTTGTTATCTCCCAAGGCAAGGGGAGTCTGGCTCCCAGGATAGGCCTTACCTCCCAGCAGTAGATTCTAATAATAATAATAATAATAATAATAATAATAATTTTTTATTTGTACCCCACCCTCCCTGGCCGGAGCCGGGCTCAGAGCAGCTAACATCATATAAACAATACAATATGCATAAAAACAAGCAATCGATTAAAATGCATCCCAAAATTAATTCAAATAAATTAAAGTTAAAGTTAAAACTGGACAAATGACAATCCTCAGGTTAAACTTGAAAGCGGTTAATACTAGCCAGGACCCAACTGTTTCCACTGATATTATAAGGACCTGTGAGCAGGCTGGGAAACCTCCTTCATGCTTGTTCTTATACAAAATGAGTCAGACTGAACCCTGACCAAAGGCCTGGCGGAACAGCTCCATCTTGCAGGCCCTGTGGAAGGATGTCAAATGTCAAAATATTTTCCATATTTAAAGGCAGAACCAAGGAATCCTGGTTTGCCCCACCCAATACTTCCCAGGAGCCCTGGCTCTCTTGACACATCCACATCTAGTAATTCCCGAATTGTGCCCAGTGATAAATTTATTTGAGAATGAATACTGCATTGAGGAGGCTGCCGCTGCATCTCAGCACGATCTGTTGCTCTGACCTTATTCCTCCGAGTCAACCTCTGTTGAGAGGGGCTGGGATGCTGTTGCTTCTCTGCTTAGGGTGAGATCAGGTCTCTTGTGCTAGAACTGCAGCAGTTTTTCGCATTCAGAGTAAACTATATGTTGCAGCTCTCTGTATGAGTCACTGCTCTGGACACTGCACTTTTCATCCGGAAGGCAAGCTCACAACAGTGACTTGGACGGGAATACAAGAGGGTGAGCTCCTTTGAGGATGGGTAGTTCCTGCTCCTGCTTATATTCCAAGCAAACCTTTTCAGGTGCACCTCCAATTGTAGAAGTGCATTTTGGCATTCAGAAGTTTGCAGAAACTTAGTTCCCACTGGGTACTACACCTCTCCCAAAACTGAAAATGAGACGACCAGCTTTAAGCCTGTCTCCCCCTTGCTTTCTCTTAGGTATACACAGTAAATACCCAGAAGCTTTTAGAACACAAACCCTGGTCTTCACCTAGTAATAGACTCTCAATTCCCAATCTATTAACCTCTTTCTGCAATAGATGCGCCCTTCGGGGTTTTGCTCCTCTTTGAAGCTGGGAATTCAAGTTCCCAGGCTGCAGAATGGCACTATTTTGTCATCCCCATCCTGTCTTTGTAAAAAACCTCCCTTACACTATCTTCCTCATTTCATCAAGTCTTTTAGTTCTAGAAGGTACACTGTGTATTCAGGCGGGACGTGTTGTGAAACTGGTGTGAGAATGCTCAAAGGATGATGTTTGGAAAAGCAGACGTGGCGGTTTGGGAACACAGAGGAGCTTGGGTGTCATATATAATACCTTTGTGGTGGAACCTCTCCCCTCTCCCTGAAGAGGGAGGCACAATTCCTGAGGTTGACTGGAGTGAGGTGTGCATCTGTGACTTAGCTCACAACCTTAGTACAAACTACTGTATGTATATCTGGGCTGCACCACTTCAAGCTACAGGAAAAGGCTCACATGACTGATTTCCTCTACACACACCCACACTGCATGATAGAAAACCAGCATCCTAGGGAGCAGGATCCGGCCACCCCTTTTCCCTGACATGCTAATTTACTGTGTGCCGGGACTAATTTTTTTTCCAATGCAAGAGACGTTCCGTCACGTGAGCCCTCACCTGCGCTCTGAAGTGTCCCAGCTCAGTCACAGGTTTACCACCCCAGGGGCCTGTTCCTTTCTCCAGTCCAGGAAGGTTTGAAAAAGAAAAAGTGAAAGAAAGAAAAAAAGTCCTTACCTCCTGTCCTGGGCCGCCCACAGGGTCAGATGCTAAGACCACAGGGGCTATTTATGGCTTGGGTATTATTTTGAGCTGTTATCTGCTGAACGCGGGGTTTCTGCTTGTTGGATGTCATGACAAGATGTAGTTACATCCCCACCCAGCGGGTGCCAGCTCTGTGCTCCAGAATAGATACCGCAGGATGCCTGCAGCCAAGCGCAGGCAGACTGAGACAATCGCCATCCTTGCTTGCTCGCTTGTCATGACAGGGGATGAGGTTTGGGAAGGAGCGGGGTGGGAGATTGCTGGCTGCCAGCTCTCCTAGGATCATCTTGCAAAGTTTGGGGAGCCCAAAGGCATCTAATAATGAGGCATGCTTCCCTGCCTGGAAAATCTTCTTTCACAACAAGGAGCTCTTGGGCATGCAGCTGCTTCTGGGGAGGAGCTCTCCAGGCGTGTGTGTGTGTGTGTGTACGTGTAGTAAGAGAACATGCTACTTGCTTTCACAGCAGAGTATCAAAGAGAAGCAGGCGGGAGTCCTTGGGAACTGTCCCCAGGCTAGCTTTGCTCCCTGCCGAATTGATTGTGCTGGCCGTTCCAAATCCCCGAGTTCACAGGAGCCTCTCGTTTTGCCCGGCTCCTGCTAAAGCAGCGTTTGAATGAAGCCGACGCCTGTGCTCATGCCCCTGGGTTGAGCTGCCTGTCCTTTGTACAGCACTGCAAACCTGGCTTGAGAGCAAACATTTTGGGGGCAGGCAGGAAGATGGATGAATGGAAGGTAGGGCACCGGAGCATCTTCTGAATGGTTGGACAGAGAGGGTGGGTGGTGTGGTCAGTTTCAGCTGCCTGGAAGGGTGTCAGGGCAGTTAAAAAGGCTATTCGGAAGCGGAGCTCACGCAGGGTGGTGGGCATATTTAGAGAACTCCAGATCCATTCTGCATTCCTAGGAGAGGTGTGTTACTCCAATAGCAGACAAGGAGTTCTGGGTTCTGTTCTCGCAGTGGCCGGCTAGATGCCTTTGGGAAGACGGTAAGCAAGCCAGATGGGAGCCCAACAGCAGTGCCCCACTAGCAAGTCCTCATAACTCATATTCAGAGGTTGGCTTTTTATGGTTGGGGAGATTCTAGTCTGGGTGTCAAGATTCCTGCGTTTTCTCCCTGCAATTGCTCCTTGGTGATAGTCGTGGTGGTATATTATTCTATGATGTCCTATTCGTTCTTGGGAGACGCTGGTGGTGCTGTGGGTTAAACCATTTTGCCGATCAGAAGGTTGGCGGTTCGAATCCCTGTTGCTCAGTCCCTGCTCCTGCCAACCTAGCAGTTTGAAAGCACGTCAAGTGCAAGTAGATAAATAGGTACCGCTCCGGCGGGAAGATAAACGGCGTTGCCGTGCGCTGCTCTGGTTCGCCAGAAGCGGCTTAGTCATGCTGGCCACATGACCCGGAAGCTGTACGCCGGCTCCCTCGGCCAGTAAAGCGAGATGAGTGCCGCAACCCCAGAGTCATCCGCGACTGGACTTAACGGTCAGGGATCCCTTTACCCTTTACCTCTCCATTCTTGACAGGCTGCAATCTGAGATCAAACTGCATGAAACAGAAAAGTAAACTCTGTTACAAAGTCTGTAAGGGGCTCCCTTTGGTTAATTCCCATTAATTCACATTCCTTGCCTCCCCATCCTCCCCTGTTTGCAATCTGTAGGTGAGGGCGATAGTAGCCTACACAGTGATGGGATTTAAAGGTGGCCTGTGTTGTTGGGGTGAAAGTTTTGGCTTTTAGTGTGCTCTGTCTCTCTCTCTGTCTCCCTTCTCAAAATGGGGCTTTGGAGAAATCAGTTCCCGACTTTGAGCATATGCTGTGCTTGCATGTTGGCTTCTATTTGAGTCAGGGGATTAACTATCAGAGCCAATGCAGGGATGGAGGTATGTTGGGTCAAACAAGTGTGCAGCAGGCAGCAGAAGTGACTCCAGAATCCCAACCCTTTTTCTGCCACAGGGGAACCAGGAGCAGCTGCTGTGCCTTGGTTTCCCCACTCGAAGTGCTCTGTGTGGTTGCAGCCCAGTGGGGAACATAATAAGGCTTGAAGTGCCCTTGGAGCAAGGCAGATCCTGGAGGAAGAACTCAGCCAGGCCAGGCCAATTGCAGCTTTGCAAACTTACTTTTGGAGGGAAAGGGGTTGTGCAGAGTTTCAGCTCTCTGACCTTCCTGGCTCAGTGTGCTGCTGTGATAGGCAGCCTGCCAGCTCATCCCAGTTGGGGAAAAAAACACCATAGTACCCTGCAGTTGCAGCCTGTCTTGCTGACTTGCAACTATTCCAAGGCTCTGCCCTATACGGGGACATTGTTGGAAGGACCGGGATAGGGGAGGGGTTGTTTTTGTTTTTGTGGCTGGCTTCTTTTCAGTAGATATAAAAATCTGTTACAGCTTGAGCATTTTAAGATTTAAAAAGAACGTTTCTAAGGGACCAGGCATGTGTGGCCCTCCAGATTCACAACTTGCAACATCCCTGACCATTGGCCATGCTGGCTGGGGGCTGATGGGAGGCAAGAGTCAAAGGCTCCCCACCCCTGTTCTAGCCCAACCTAAATCTAAATTTAACCCAACTCGGTGAAGTCCACAGAGCTCAAAAGGAAAATCCTTCAACACCAAGTGGGAAAGGTACGTTAGAGTGGCAAGAGCATCAACCATTCCCCCCCTTGCATATAATAGAAACCCTTAATTCATTTAGCACTGCTTGCCAGTGCCACCCAGATACCCTTGCTTATCTTGGCACTAAAGCGCCACTTGGGCTGCATTGAACCTGACACTCCAGAAGTCAGCCTTTCAGGTCAGAAGTCATGGCTGCCAAGCAACGTAACTCTCCTGTTTTTAGATGCTAACCACAGAGTCCAACTCTGTGCAACAGCTACGGTTGTTTAGTTCTTAAGCTGTCTCTGAGAGCAGCAGCAGCTTGCTCATCCATCTCTTAAAAAGTTCCCCCAAAGTCCAGAACTATGTGAAGCAGCTTCTTTCATTTTCTGCAGTTAGGACATAGCAATGAGAACTGCTGGCTCATCCCTTCCAACCTTTTGCCCTGAAGTTGTGATGTCTTCTTCCTAAAGCAGCCTTCCCCAACCTAATGTCCTCCAGGTATTGCTGGACTACAAGTTCCATCATCCCTGACCGTTGGCCATGCTGGCTTGGGCTGTAAAAGCAGACTGTAAACCCTTTTAATTGCCACCCCTTCAAACGGCTACCAGAAGGTCAACTGTGCTAATCCGTTGCAGCACAAACCAACGGTATGGTGGCACCTTAAAGACAAACTAATTTACAATGACATCAGCTTTTGTGGACTTCAGCAGATGCAGAATGATGAAGTGTGGACTCCAGTCTGTGGAAGCTGCTGTCAAAATAAGTATTGCTAGTATTTAAGATGCCACAAGATTTTCATTGCGTCACTTAAAGTTTAGATGAATACTCTTACTCACCCCAAATTGCTCTGAAGGCAATTGAAGATGCTTTTGTCGCATCCCGTAGGGCAGTGATGGCCAAACTTGGCCCTCCAGCTATTTTGGGACTACACCTCCCATCATCCCTAGCTAACAGGACCAGTGGTCAGGGATGATGGGAATTGTAGTCCCAAAAATAGCTGGATGGCCAAGTTTGGCCATCACTGCTGTAGGGGTTTCTTGCTGTATACTATAACATCTTCACAGAACAGGTAATCCATGAGAGCTTTAAATCCAGTCCAAAATAATTGTTTATGTAGCTCAGATGTGGGAAATTTGTAGCCCTTCAGATGTTGCTGGATTGTGACTGAACATCCCTGCCACTTGCATCATGACTATGGCTGATGGGTCTTAGAGTTCAACAACATCTGGAGTTGTAACTGATGGAACAGGCGAGGACTCCCTCCCGCTACAGTTTGGCAGTTGCCCATTTTTCATTGAAAACTGCCCTAGAAATCTGACCTATGGCCTCATATCATTGCTTTGGCACAGGGTGACCATAAAGGCATTCAACTAATCATCATATCTCTTTATAAACACACAGCCTACTGAAAACTGTTTCCTCACTAGAGAGCACCTTAGCTTCTTCACTACTTCAAAGATTTGGGCTGTTCACACCTTGTTCCCAGTGAATTAGATAAAAGAAGCCCCCCTCAGAAGGGAATTTGCCTGCATGCTTTCTGGAGTGTGCCGTCAATATTTAACAGCCCCCAAGTCTGAGGTTCCTAGGCATTTAAGCTAATATGCAGACAAGGAATGCAATAGTCCCTCAATCCCTGATAGATTGATTACCTGTGATACTGTCTTGCCATTCTCAGGCTGCTATCATAACGTCCTTATGCAAATTATGGCGCAGCCACACGTGGAATCCTGTGTAATAATAATAATAATTTTATTAATTATACCCCACCCATCTGGCTGGGTTTCCGCAGCCACTCTGGGCAGCTTAAAGCATATCTAGTCTCCTCGCTTCGAAAGGCTGTTGGGAAAAGGTTGATAACCAATACTGTAACCGATAAAGTTGGGGCCATATTCAAGCCAGAAACCCCCCCCCCAAAAAAAAGATAAATGGGCAACCAAAATTATCAAGCAGATGGAGCCTTTCTTTATGATATAGCTGATATAGGCTGATCACTACTTGGCATTCCAAGGGCATGAAGAAAATGCACAGAAAGTGGTGGTGTTTGCAGAAATCAGTTCCATGAAAATTTCAGACTTTTTAAAAAAAGTTTTCTACTCCTTATGGCTGTGCGCATATGCTTTAAAGTATATGTATATGTATGCATGTAAACAAATGTCAGCTCCCTCGGCCAGTAAAGCAAGATAAGCGCCACAACCCCAGAGTCGTTCGCGACTGGACTTAACTGTCAGGGGTCCTTTATCTTTTTTTGTAGGCATGTATGCATTACACTTTTAATCTCCCCTTCATCTCACGGGATTCTAGAGAATTGCTTTTCCATTAGTTTTGCCCCATCGATAATGACTAGCAAAACTGGGATATATACAAAAGGAAAAAACCCGATTATTAGGGGAGGATAGAAATAATGCAAATACGCAGAATAGATATACAAAGTTCAGATGTCCCTTTCCCGATGGTTTGCTATGAATTGCAACATTGTCTGAGCTCCCCTGACACAAGCAGCAAACTTGTGCACACTGCGCGGTTGCAGGCCATGTTCCGTGATGGGAATTGAGTCTGCATCTTGCAAGTGCCAGAAAGATGCTGAGCAGGCATACGGTCCTTGGCCTGGTTGCTGTGTGGAGAAAGGACATGTTGGAGTAAAACGTGGGGGTAGGGGTGGGATGGTGAGTTCTGTGCAGTTTTTCTTACATCTTACATAGAATGAGTGAATGCACATGATCACCTGTGCTGATTCCAGTCCTGGCCTCCACACATGTGTATGTACAACCCTGCTGTGCAGTCAGGGGTTCTGGAAAACCAGGCTTCTCCATTGCTCAGAAATATACTTATATGGGTACACTCCATGTGCATAGATCAGAGGTAGACAGCCTTGTGCTTGGTGGAACAGCTTTGCTTTTATTGGCTAGATAGATCGCCGAGGTCGCTGAGGTCCACCAGCTGGCTCAGGAAGATGGGCACTGAATTGCTGGACATGTTGCTCTGAGCACATGCTCAGCCTGGAAATCCAGCCTTCCTAGATTTCGGCAGCTTAATTTTGGAGTGGGCCTGGGGGAGACTTTTTCTTGATGCTTTTGTTAAGCCATTAGGAGTTTGAAACCCTAGCTGATCTAATAAAAATTAGCTGGAGATTTACTAGTAGATGCAGGTGTAACTTTTGCTCCATCCCGTGTAGATCTTATATACATAGGCTAAGCTGAGTACATGAAAGCTGGGAGGGGGTGACTTGTGCAACCCTCCCTACAAGCCCTGGCACATATGTTCACCGTAATGTGCAAAACGTATTCATGACTGTACTGTACAATGTGGACTTATGAGGAGAGGTGTCAGTAGGGCAGTTGAGGTTGCTGCAATGAGTTTGGGGAGGAAGATCATCATGGTCTCTTGACCTTGTCATAGGGTCTTCTGGCCCCCACTTCACTCCACCCATAGCCCCCACCCCTTGGGAAATATGGGAAGGACCAAGAACAAGCCAGAAGGAAGGAGCAAGACCAGTGACCGAATGATTCCAGATAGGTGCTTAATATCACAAACGGGTCGTTGGAAAAGGTTTTCGTTCCGTTTTTGGGTTTTTGCTTTTTAACATCAGGTTTTCTGCAGAGAGAGTAAATCCAGATTAAATGGGGTGGAAATACAGGCTGTCGTTTTGATGCTGATGACTTTGTATGGATGCTGCAAAAAAATTTGCACGCATGAGCAGATCCCACAATAAACACCAATCGGAAACACCCTAATGTGTGCAGAGTGAGGCACTGCCGTGCGAGAGAGGTAGAAGAAAGGACGTCATAATGAAGGGTATATAATAATAATAATAATAATAATAATAATAATAATAATAATAATAATAATAATTTATTTATATCCCGCCCTCCCCAGCCGAAGCCGGGCTCAGGGCGGCTAACAACAATAAAACAGTACAAAAGTACAGCATAAACAACACTCTAAAATTATTCATTATAAAATTAATTAATTCAAGCCACTGGCAACCATTGGGCCAGAACTCCGCGAAGATTGCCGAGGGAGGGAGTCAGGCTGTGCCCTGGCCAAAGGCCTGGTGGAACAGCTCTGTCTTGCAGGCCCTGCGGAAAGATGTCAAGTCCCGCAGGGCCCTGGTCTCTTGTGACAGAGTGTTCCACCAGATCGGAGCCAGATATGGAGTATGAGGGGCATATAGAGGGGCTAATTTCAGAGGCAGAAGGTATATTTTGTGGCTCACTGTCCCCTAGCGCCACATTTCATTCCCGCACCCGATAAGAGGGCATACCACCTGTTCAGTTAAATGGGGCAATGTAAATGGGGTGTTTTCTGGCCTTGAAGACCCTCACAGTCATCGAGATGGAAGCCTGCTCTGAACTGCATAGGCCTTCTTTGAGTTCCATTTCTGCGTTGTGTTAGAGCTGCTGGTATCCTAAATTTGTAATTGCATTGTGATGTCATCTGATGGTGAAAGGCCGGGCGACGAGGGCTTACCCAGTGAAGTTTCCCAGTGGTGCAAGAATCAGGGTGCACATTTATTTTGACGCACTACTACAATGATTGTACACACACACACACACCTTCCAGTTGGATCTTGGTCTCTTTGCAGTTGTTATGTGTACGGGGTTTGATTTCATTTTTAATTTTTTTCTGTAACTGTGCTCTCTCTGGGGTTCTGGGATGAAAGCCAAGAGGAATTGTTGAAATTCCTTGGTCATTCGCATTCATTTAGCTTTGTATAACAGTGTTATGAAAAGTAATAATTACAGTTGTTGGGAATCTGATTTCACTGCTTCGGTACAATGGTTGACTAATTTGTGTGTGTGTGATTGAACAGGAGTTTTAACAAATTAATAGAATAGTTTTAACAAATTAATACTTGGAATGTTTGGGCGCTTAATTTGACCAGTCAAATGACCAGCTTTAATCCTATGGTTTATCAAGCAAGGCTGGGTGGGAACTTTGTGCCGCATAATGCAGTTTTTTAAACATCACATGAAATGGGCCAAAGAATATGAATTTAAACCTTTAGATCAGTAACCATGGAAAATAAAACCCTTTTAAGTCACAGAGATTTCACAGGTGCTTAAACAGTCCCTTTGTAATAAATGGAAGTGAGCAGTTCTTAACTTCCAAATGCTGCTCTATTTTGGCACTCTAGAAAGCCTCTGCTAGCCTACTGCAAAAAGCAAGTTCCATCTTCCTCCCAACTTTTGTTTAAAACATCTTCCATTCTCAGTTACCTTCTGTCCCCTTCTACACATCGACTGAAGGCATTTGAGCTCTTAGACTCATCCCCTAAGGGCTAGAAATTTTCAATTCATGAAAATTTAAGAGTTTCTGAATCCTGAATTGCTGGCTTCTTAATTCTGTGCATACGCAGCCCTCCCATGAGCATGCGAGATATTGCAATTTCCTGGTTCTAGTTCCTACTCTCCATCATTTTGGGCCGGCTGCCTGTTCTGCAGAAGCGTCTACAACTTGCATATAACCAGCGGAGGTCAGTGTCTAAAATGAGAACCCTTTCCCCATCTCTCTTGGTGAGAGAGAGGGCGTGATGACACTCTCGGCGGCCTTGAGGAGCACTGGTGTCTGTTACACGCTGGGCAAAGGCAGTGGAAATGTTAACAGGTAGAGTGACAGGGCCTGGGAAGTTGCCAGCGGGCCTCGGCTGGCAGAGGCAGGGGCCAGCTTGTCTCAAACTCAGCACTCCTGGGTTCCTTCTAGAAGTAGATCTGTGGCAGACGTACGAGAATCCTTGGCCCTTGCCGTGACTGTGGCCGTCACCCTGGGTGACCTTGGAGAACCAGCTACCTTGGTTTGCTATCCCATGACTTCCAGGTCACAATCCATCTGGCTCAGGGCCGAAACAGGCATGATGTGGGAGATCTGTGATCCAATCTCCCAGCTTTTTTATTAATAGGCCAACCACCAGGAATCTGATTTTGATCAGGGCAGCCCCTTAGTGTCTGTGTTGTTTTTGTGTGTGTGTGTCTAAAGGCTAGAAACTTCATGTTTTTCCCATGCATAAAACCTTAGAGTTTTAGGGTGCTGAATTTCAGGATTTCTTCCTCCCACACCATTTTCTCTGTCTAAGTAACCCCCCCTCTTTCCAAAGCTCCCTGCTGGAGGGGGGAACACAGGTGCCTGTCTTTTTCCACCAACAATTTCAGTTGGGAAACATGGCAGCGGAAGGAAAGAATTAAATACCGTATTTTTTGCACCATAACACTCACTTTTTTTCCTCCTAGAAAGTAAGGGGAAATGTCTGTGCGTGTTATGGAGCGAATGCCTGCGGGTGGCGGGGGGGATCTGCTGCAGTCGTGAGCAGAGGATCCATGGTTCCCCTTCCTTCCCTCCTCCGTGGTTACAAAGCATGGATCCACATGGATCCTCAGGATTTTTGCATTGGGCTACTCCAAACTCACTGTCAGATCACATGTCTGTGGCCACAGCATGAACCACAAAAATCATATATCCACTATTTCGTTTAGAATAATTTTTTTCTTGTTTTCCTCCTCTAAAAACTATGTGCGTGTTATGGTCTGGGTGCGTGTTATAAAGCGAAAAATACGGTATACCCTCCCCAGTTCAAGAGGGAGGGTTAGTTAATTGAATACCTCCTCCCAAATGCCACTGCTCCAATCAAAACAAGCGCCTTGTGGCTGCTGCTTTAAAAAGCTGGGAGAATTGATCACAGATTCCTGTGTCTGTGATCCATGTCTGTTTTCACCCTCAAAGGCATGTGTTCTCT